GGATAGTTGGCCAATCAGAGCACACCTCGCTTTTCAGAACAATGAGCTTTGTAAAAATTGACGCGTTTCAGAAAGGCGGGGCATAGAGGAGAAACAATAATGTACAGTATGTGGAAAACAATGTGTTTTTTGAACCTTAAACCGCATAAACACATTTCATTACACCAAATACACAAAATAATGTTCTTTTTAGCAACATCATATGACCCCTTTAATACCGACTTCATGTGTTCATTGATATAATTTTCAATGAATGAGGATGCTAAATAATCATCTAAATAAGTATTTTCTCAGTGCGGCCGCTTCTATGAGACGTCGTACTGGACAAAAGCGAAGCAAACCGTGCAAGAAAGACTGATGCAAGAAACTGATCATGTAAATCTCTCTCATGCATTTGTGGCAGTTTCCATCACAATACACAACCCTTATCGACCGCATCTGTGACAAGCAGCTGGTCACCACAGACAGGACGTTCACACACACACTAGACGCGGACAGAAAGAGTCAAAGATCGTTTGATTAATCTAGAGCAGTCATTTAAAGGAGCGTCCTGGGTCAATGGGAAACGTGGCTCGTAACCCATTTTTCTAAACTAATGTGACATATTTCAGAGTGAAACAGGACATTCGATGAGAAAAAGAAATGATTTTATTTATGAGGACTTGACTGGATGGTGAAAAGAGTCTCTATATGGCAGACGACAATGCTGACGTTATTAAAATTTTAATTAAATTATTTTACTGGTAACAGTTTACAATATAGTTTTATTTGTTAACATAAGTGCGCTGCATTAGTTAACTTAAACTAAAAATGAACCAGTGTTATTTCGTATCTTTGAGATACTATTATAGTTTTTATTAATATTTTGAATCAGTTTTTATTTTTATATTTTCATTTTAGTTCAAGTAATTTTATTTCTAGTTTTAGTTAACTGTAATAACCCTGCAATTAACTTCTAAAGCATTATAAGTAATTTATATAATTAATTTTTATATTTATTTTATTAATATTTATTAATTATTATAAATGTATTTACTTGCTATTCATGTATTATTATTATTATGATTATTTTGACATTTAGTATTATATTATTAAAATGCAATACATTTGTCTAAATTAAAATTAATTAATGCACTGTGATTATATTATATTCATAAGAACAAAAAAATAAATAAATGCTTTAAAATATATATTGCTCATTGTTAGTCAACTATAATAACACTGCAATTTAATTTCAAATAATTTATATTTTTAATTTTATATTCATTTTACCAATATATTATTTTTAATAAATTTATTAATCATTAACTTATTTATTATTATTACTATTACAATTTTGACATTTAGCAACACATTATTAAAATGCAATAAAGTTGCATGAATGCACTGTAACATGAACAATTATTTTGACTAACATTAACAAAAAATAATAAATGCTTTAATATATTGCTCATTGTTAGTTCATGTTAGCTAATGCACTAACTAATCTTAAAAACCAATTTTGTCTTTTGAATAACATCACTTCTGAATTATTCTCAGTAACAGGCATTCAAAGATTACAGTAAATAGGGTGAATTTATGATCATGTGGACTCTAACTGATTGTGTAGGAGTTCAGAAACAAACTCAAAATGTCCCAAGTCTTTCAGGGAAACTCCAGATTCAGGCGATCAAACGAATCTTTGATTCTTCATGAACTCTGTCAGCACTCTTGATGCTTTAGTGACTTGTTTACTGGAGCTTCCGCGATCTGAAGGGAAGCCTTGATCCGCTCTGTTCTCTCATGTACATCGCCATCAGAGCCGATCGATACACACTAGAGCGCCAACACACCTCGCTTGTGGAGCCATCCCTCCTTCACGATCACCACGTCCGTCGTCATGCTCTCCGGCGGCAGGCCGTCAGTCTATCCAGATCCGCCGAGTGCTTCGATCCGGCCAGCGTAAAGCCTCTTCACACGGGTCGCCTGCGGGAGAACGACCAGCAAACTAGCTTAAAACCAATTAAACCAGTGCTGTTCATCACATCTAAACACTTAAAGGGACAGTTCACCCAAAAATGACAAATCTGTCAGCATTTGCTCACCCTCATGTTGATCCAAACCTGATTATTATTTCACCCCCAAGTTGTTACATGATGGTCCCATTTACTTCCATAGTATGGAAAAAAAAACTATGGAAGTCAATGGGTACCATCAACTGTTTGGTTACCTCCATTCTTTGAAATATCTTCATTTTGTGTTCAATAGAAAAAACAGTAAATGATGGAAGAATTATTTCACCCTCAAGTTGTTACATGATGGTCCCCACTGACTTCCATAGTATGGAAAAAAAAACTATGAAAGTCAATGGGTACCGTCAACTGTTTGGTTGCCAACATTCTTCAAAATATCTTCATTTTGTGTTCAATAGAAAAAGAGTAATAGTCATAGTGATGGCAGAATTATTTCACCCCCAAGTTGTTACATGATGGTCCCCATTTACTTCCATAGTATGGAGAAAAAAAAACTATGGAAGTCAATAGGTACCATCAACTGTTTGGTTACCAACATTCTTTGAAATATCTTCATTTTGTGTTCAATAGAAAAATATTAATAGCAATAGTAATGGCAGAATTACTTCACCCCCAAGTTGTTACATGATGGTCCCATTTACTTCAATAGTATGGAAAAAAAACCTATGGAAGTCAATGGGTACCATCAACTGTTTGGTTACCTTCATTCTTTGAAATATCTTCATTTTGTGTTCAATAGAAAAA